AAGTTTTGAGCAATTGGACTGATGTTTAAAAGTACAGCTATTTATGCCAGGTGCTGGTGGCTCACATCTATAATCCTACCTACTTGGGAGACTGAGAATGGGGGAGGATTGTGGTTTGAGGCACACTGGGAAAATACTTCACCAGACCCCAACTCCAAAATAACCAGAGCAAAATGGACTGGAGATACTGCTCAAGCATATCATGCCTGCTTTCCAAAACAAACAAAACATAAGGACAGCTATTGTAATTGATTTAGTTGTAGTAATATTGTTTAAGAAGTTTTGGCTCTAGGGCGCATGGTATGATCAGTGGTAGAGCTTATGCTAGGGATTATAACTACACACGGACTTTCATCCGCCTTTGAAGGAAGGCTATCCCTCAGAGGTTAAGCACTTGCCTAGCACATGTGAGGCCCTGGGTTAGAACCCCAGAACTATAAAACCAACACAAGAATTTCATCAGCCTTCAAAGTATTGGTGAAATGGCTTCCTATTGGATATTTAATATTTTAGTGATTAACAAAAATTTTCCAATATGAATCATATTTTTAGACAATTAAAAATATGTCTCACAGCCTAGAAGCATGTTATAATCTGCCCCTGACCTCTCTCTCGCTCTCCCCTTGCTCACTCTGTTCAAGGCAATACTGGATCTCTGCTGTTCCCAGAACACACCACATACACTTGTGCACATGGGCTTTGCATTTGCTCTTTCCCCTCCCTGGTATTTCTTCCTCCACATCTCCTCCTTCACTCATGCAAGTCTGTGTTCAAATATACCTCATCAAAGTGGCCTTCCTTGACCATTCTGTCCGAATAGCACCCCCCTCAAGGTCACTATATCCCACAGTTACTCATCCTCAGCATGATTTACATCTTGAGCTGCAGATTCTGTGTTCAATAGTGAGGAGGTTGGGGAGGGGAGGGACATGCATGCAGGATATTTATCAGCATCCCTGGCCTCTACCCACTGGATGACAGTAACATCTTCTCCCTGCCTGGTTGGCACAAAAAGTCACCCACCAGGCATGGTGGCAGAAGGATTACAAGTTCGAGGCCAGTCTGGGCTACATAACAAGACCCTGTCTCAAAAACAATAAACAAATAAATGTCAGCCAGGTGTAGTAGCTTGCACCTTTAATCTTAGCTACTCAGGAGATGGAGATCAGGAAAATTATAGTTTGAGGCAGGTCCAGGCAAAAAGTTAGCAAGACACCATGTCAACAAAGAAGTCAGGCTTGGTGGCAAGTGCCTGTTATTCCAGGTACTTGGGAGGTGTTGGTAAGAGAATTGTATCCAAGGCCAGCTCCAGGGAAAAAATTCGAAATGCTATCTGAAAAATAACTAAAGCAAAAAAGGGACATTTCCAGGGGAAAACATAAAATAGTCACTTGTCTAACCCTTAACCCTGCTTTATTTTTTTGGAGCACTTAAATTGTGGTATTACATTATAGGATATTTAATAGTCAGGACTTCCATTTGTTGGCTGTGCTGTCTTTGGTACCTGGCAACTTTTTTTAATAGATTAAAATCTACTCACAATTATTTTCCTCCAACGATGTTTTGATCAACCTTGCATTCCTTGTTGGTTTTCTTTCTGTTTTAATTTAATTTACAGATTGATATGCTAGCGAAAGTTAAAATTTATTCACTAAATGTATACACTCAAGTGATTACATCTTTAGAACACTGGCTTTCTTTTTCAATAAACAAACTTATGGTCATTTTTCTCCATTTTTAACAGCTTCAGAATAGGCATCATTCATCTAATCAACACTTTGATATATATTCTGTTAAAACTCAGTAGCACAAAAATAAAAGATATTTTAGAGTCATGTAAATCTGCTTTCTCAGTAACATTTTTTTTATGAACTCTATATTCGCCTTGGATTCATTGTTTAATTAACTTGAAAAAATTGGTCCTAAGGTGGTTGCTTCATTTCAGGTGAGTTTTGAAATAGAATCAACATTAATTCATAAAACTTTGTGCTAAGCCAGGTGTCAGTGGCTCACTCATGTCTGTAATCTTAGCTACTTGGGAGGTTGAGATCAGGAGGATCACAGTTCAAGGCCAGCCTGGGCAAAAAGTTCACAAGACCCCCCCCCCATCTCAACCAGCAGGTGTGTGCAGTGGTATGTTTCTGTCAGCCCAGTTATGCAGGAGGCTGAGTTTGGGAGGATCACAGTTCTAGGCCAGCCCAGGCCAAAAATAAATAAATAAATGAATAAAAGTCCATGAGACCCCCATCTCAATGGAAAAAAGCTGGACGTGGCACCTGTCATCCTAGGAAGGATGGGAAGCATTTTGCCTGGAGAAAAAGTGAGAGCCTATCTCAAAAATAACCAGAGCAAAAAGGGCTGGAGTTGTGGCTCAAACAGTAGAGCACCTACCTCATAAGTACAAAGCCCTTAGTTCAAATCCCAGGACTGCCAGGAAAACACTTTTTTACTAATGAAAGAATCAGAACATCAAACTCACAGTTTCAGTAGAAGTTGTTTTATACCATGGCAGTGTTTTGTCTGTGTGAAGTGGATTTTTATTGTTGTTTTTTTTAATTCACTTATTCACATGGGCATACATTGTTTGGGTCATTTCTCCCCCCTCTCCCTGCCCCCTACCTCTCCCTTCCACCCCCTTGCTTCCAGGCAGAACCTGTTCTGCCCTCTTCTCCAATTTGTTGAAGAGAAGACATAAGCAATAATAAGAAAGACAAAGCGTTTTTGCTAGTTGAGGCAAGGGTAGCTATACAGAGAGATTCCTAGCATTGCTTCCATGCACGTGTGTATTACAACCCGAATTGATTCATCTCTACCTGACCTCTTCACTACTTCCCAATCACCTTCCCATTTTTGTTTTTTGTGACATGCAGTCTCCTATCCACCTACCATCTCTACATGCACCACCAGTGTATTGTTTTTTTAAAAGTCCACTTAGCTCTGTGGGGTTTTGTTTGTCTGGGAGATTAGTGGTATTGGGGTTTGAACTCAAGACCTTACACTTGCTATACAGGAGCTCTACCACTTGAGCTACATCTCCGTCCTTTTTTGCTTTAGTTATTTTTCAGATAGAGTCTTTTGCTTTTGCCCAGGGCCAGTTGTAATCCTCCTACCTATGCCTGCAAACATGCTAAGCTTATTTGTTGAGATGGGGGTCTCACTAACTTTTTACTGGAACTGGCCTCAAACCATGATCCTCCTAATCTCCACCTTTGGAGTAGCTTGGATTACAGGTCTGCACCACTATACCCAGCCAGCTCTATATTTTAATAGTTCTTATTAACCAAGGATGCTTTTTTAAAATCAGAGATACTATTTTTAAGTAAAGCTTCTTACTGTTTAAAATACAGAATTCATGATATAAAAACTGTCATTTTAGTCAAAATTTTCATTTCCCTTTCAAACATTCTTATGTTCCAAACAATAAGAAAAGATCATAATTAAATGAACCAGTTATGAGCTGAACCAAAAGCTGAAGGAAAATACCATTAATTAACTAACTTATTTCTCTAATCTTTTTCCTTTTTCCTTTTTTTTTTTTTTGGCTTGCCCTTCATTGTTACGAAGATCTCAACAGCAATGGATTCATTTGTGACTATGAACTTCATGAGCTTTTCAAGGAAGCTAATATGCCATTACCTGGATATAAAGTGAGAGAAATTATTCAGAAACTCATGCTGGATGGTGATAGAAATAAAGATGGGAAGATAAGTTTTGATGAATTTGTTTATGTAAGTATGTAAACATCTGCAATTATTAGAAATAATGGCTGTTCCTTTGTCTAGTGAGATCTCACAGTATAAATACTATTATGTTAAATAGCTAAATATGTCATGTTAGTACTCTGAATACTAGCTTCTGTCTCCTGCCCACTAAGTTTAGTTAGTTCTTTCAGCCACTAGAATATCTTAGCAAAAGAACTGAGAAAAAGAACCGTCAGGCCAGGTGCCAGTGGCTCCTGCCTATAATCCTAGCTACTTGGGAGGCCGAGATCGGGAGGCTCACAGTTCAAGGCCAGCCCAGGAAACTAGTTTGTGAGACCCCTCATCTCCAAAATGACCAGAGCAAAATGGACTGGAGGTGTGGCTGAAGCTGTAAAGCGCTTGCTTTGCAAGTGTGAAGTCCTGAGTTCAAACCCTAGTCCTGCCAAGAAAGAACACTTCAGAGACTGCTGGCTGTGAAAAGTGAACAGTCGCCCTCAGGGCATCATTACGGGCATCTCCCCAGGTGCTAAATGACATCCTTGCTGTGATCTTTCTCTCACCATAGTGAACAGTGTGCTCAGCAATTTTAATGATACACCATGACTCACAGTCTTAGAAGCTTCCTGAGCTCAACTTTCTGATTAAAAAGATGTTTTCTACTCCTCTGACAGTGGTATTTAACTATACCATTTTCTCTAGGGCAATCATTTTGATAATTGAAAGTTAGAAGCATATCTTTTTAGTCCGTTGGGAGAGGCATTTAAAAGTTTTGTTTTCTTCCCTAGTGACATCAAATGCTCCTCAGGGTTAATCCTCCCACCTCTCCCAAGCACTTACTTTCGTCTTCTGTGCTCAGTACCTGAAGCATCTAAGTGTGGCAGGCACGTGGCTCTTCATTGACGCCTAACTCTTCTGTTAACAATTGGGGTCTAGATTTTCTAGACTTATGCCACTTTCAGTCCATATTTATTGACAAGTTGTGGAGATATATATTTAAAAGTAGCTTTTGTCTCTTCCTTCAAATAAGAACACCCTTAAGATTTTGTTTTTATTTCGTTTCTGTTTTGGTTTTTAAGACAGGGTCTTGCTGTGTAGCCCAGGCCTGGCCTTGAACTCACTATCCTTCTTGCCTCAGCCTCCTGAAGTGCTGAGATTACAGGCATGAGCCCAAATATTTGGCCA